CTATCAACATTTTGAGAAAAAACTGTTTCCCTTCGTTTCTGCTGTTCGGGTTTTGTATATATTTACAAATTCTTCAACAGTAAATGATCTTCAGAACAAGCTTTCATTCTCAAAGTTTACAGCAGAAACATTTTCACTTTCATTTTCAACAGTCCATCTCCTTTTTTTTCTCCCTTCTTACCAGCTATTTGGCTGCCTGCCAGAATCTTCTAAATCTTTTATGTAAACAAAGCAGAGCTGCACAGAAAAGTGGAGAGAGCAGAGTGCTGAGACCCAGCTTGATCTCCTCTGTTTCTTTTGTGATCCTTGAGGCTGGGTTCACACCTAGGCGTATCGAATATGCACGTTTGTCGCGCGCTTTTACCGCGATTCGCGGGACAAAACACGCGTTTCCGAGGGCTACCTGGCTGTATCCCAATGGATACGCGCGGCAAATACGCCCCCAAAGAAGCTCCTGTACTTCTTTGGGCGTAGGGCGTTTTGTAGCGCGTTCACACGGCCTGTAATACACCCAGGTGTGAACCATACCCTTAGGAAATAATGGGATTTCGGTGTTTGAGCGTTTTGCAGAGCGTAGGAACGCGCTACAAAACGCCCAGGTGTGAACCGAGCCTGTTCACATGAGTTTCAGGTCCTGATCTGCAGACGCGGTGCTATGTGTTTTTGCCGCATTTTTGATGCGTTCCAGTTATGTGGCTGTAGTGGCGGTCAGTATGTTAGCTGCAGTGCGTTTTTGACGCGCTTTGCGTTTCCGGACCGTACAAAATGTGACATGCAGTATTTTTCTGTCGTAACCTGAACGGACTGCGCACGTGAGAACTGTAGCCCATAAAACAGATTGGGATGCATTTTTAGCGCAGGAGCGTATGGATCAGGTCAGCACAGAAAACGGACGTTGTGTGAACAGGCCTTAAAGATGAATTGCGTCACCGTATCTGCAGCTACAGGGGTCAGTGGGGCTTATTTTAACTTCCATTTCTAGACCTCTCTCCCCCATTGGAGCACCCCAACCCCCATAAGAAAACTGTATACATACCTTTTTTAAATGTCTCACAGATCCTCTTTTTTTCTCCCCAGATAGCTGGATTCTAAATGCTCCAGAAAGTGCCACCACATCCTTGCAACATTTTCCTGGGAGTCCAGGGCTGTCCCTAATAACAAATAAAAATAATTGTGCCTAATAAACTAATGTGTCCCTGTGTGTGTTGTAAAGCAGCCACGGCCCCAAGCTCATTCCTGTGATGGACTAAAATCTCAAAACAAATATTAGTAAACTAAATGTGAGATTGTAGTCAGGGGCGTATCTGCCGCGAGGCAAACAAGGCATTTGCCTGGAGCGGCAGATTCGCTGAGAGCGGCACCCCGAGTGCTACTCACCTGGATGGGATGACGCGGAC